ACAAAGCGGATGCTGATCAGTTCCGAGATCGCTAAAGTCCGTGGTCATATATGCTCTGCGGACAGGAGCGACTTAGACACGATTAATCGCCACGAACGCACTTGTGGTGTGACGTGGGTTGATGCGTGGCCTGACAGATTCTGTATACTCCGTCCCAACAGTATGTCGTCCACTAAGATTAAAGGTCGCTGTCGTCCTTACGCTGTATCAGTCAAATTCTGTCCATTCGGATATAAGTACAATTACCAAGTCGGGTTTTAATGGACATTCCAAAGCGGATTAAAGCGAGGTTGTTAAATCCGTACCGACACATGGGCCATACATGCAGAACAATTCCGAGGCATTTGTTAATGCTGGAACGTTTGATCGGTCGGCCGGACAACATTTCACGTGATCCGTATCAACGATAATGGAAACATGCTTGCGAAAGTTGGAGTGACTGCAACTATTTGGTAAAAGCCCCTCTGTTGCCAGAAAAACATGTTCATCATCTTGGTCTTGCGTTTGTAACCGCTCTCTGATTCATGTTTATGCTTCTTTTGCAATCTTAATAATGTATTTGTCTCTAGCAGGCACCAGTTCAGAAGCATCGAAGTTGTCCGGGAAAAAAATCATGCAGTATTTCTACAATGGTTTTTCCTTTCGCGTAAACCAACCGGTGTATTGGCCAATCACACTGCGTTATCAGCGGAGGTTTCGGATACTATGGATGATCTTTCGCATGACCATTTTTAGCTGTTCAATGTTTCCCTTGATTTTAGCGATACAGAAGTACAATCATAAGTAACTTATACATAGCCCCCTTTTTACCTAGTCTCACATTTCATCTTTCTTTGATGCATTTATTCTGTCTATCGTTCCCCTCATAGACGATAGTCTCCACATCATTGTTGGTGACTTTAATCATGCATCCACCTATCCCATAACTTCTTTTGGCTTAACTGATATTTGCTTGGCCCCCACAAGAGGTGATTCATTTTTAGATAAGGTTATTACTAATCACCCAGAACATTTTGCCCTAAAATTCACCGCACCTATTTCCACTAGTGATCATGCACTGATTCTCATAAGACCCACAGTCTACTCCCGTCCCATTCACAATACACTCACAAGAACCAATCAAATCACCATTCGTCTTCGCAATCTCTCCCCAAGAAACACCCTTCTTCTTAAGCGTTCCATCAGTGTCGTTTCTTCGTGGTTTTCTTCTTATCCCTCTTTACGCAATGCAGTCAACTCATTCACTGAAACACTTAACCGCACGTTTAACCTAAGCTGCACTTTTGAAACTCTATTTGTTTGTAACGGTAGAATAGCATCTCCACTGCTGAAGTCATTCAGAAGACAGAAGGAACGACCGTACAAATCTAGAGACTCAACGGCTATCAAGCATTACACCGACTTGATCAAAGCTGAAATCAAACGCCTCTCTGCTTTGTACGCCTCCCAGTTTCTGCTCTGTAACAACAGCAAGCGAATTTGGCAAGCTGTCAAACTGCTCTGTGGGACCAAATCCAAAACTTCGGATTGTACAACGGATTTGGACAGTGCTAATGCAGCATTTATCCACCCATCAAGCGAAGCGATCACGCCATTTGTTCTGGACGATGCCGTTCAAGTAGAGGCCGTCTCGAAAGAAGAAACCCTTGAGCTTTTGCGTACCGTGAAAACCACGTGAAGTGTTGGTCCCGATGGTCTTTCATCTTCCATTCTGAGACATGGGGCCTATACTCTCAGTGAAATATTCACATCATTTTTGAACGATTCCTTAAAAACCTGCTCTATACCAGACTGTTGGAAACCGGTAACAATTGTTCCCATTCGCAAATCCTCTACTTCAGACGTTCTAACCAAACGCTTTCATCCTATCGCTCTAACCTCCGTTGGACTTAAGCTAGAAAAACGTGTTGTTCTTAAGTTCNTTCAACCCCTGTCCACCTTATGTTTTACCACTAACCTTGTATGGATTGTGAGTTTGGCAGCGGTCAGTGAGGTTCGCTTCACGGTATTTCGCTGTACGATGATGATGATTATGATGATGATGTCCCATATGATTCTCTTCAGTTTACCTATAAACCTAACAGATGCACGCTAGATGCAGTTTCCTCTCTTTTACATAAAATTACCAAATCCTTGAATGACTCTGCGAAATCTGTGCGTTGTGTGTTTCTGGACTACTCATCTGCTTTTGATTATATTACTCGTTCCCTTCTCCATCATAAACTGGAGACCTTCGGTTATCTTAGACAGTTATTAGCTTGGCTTGCCGATTACTTCTCCGGAAGAACTCATTGAACCAGGTTAGGTCGAAAAAAATCCACACCGTTGTTGAACAGCTCTGGAGTACTCCAAGGTGCAGTTCTTTCCCCATACTTATTTTCTACGTATATTAGTAACTTGTCTGCCTGCGCCTCTACTTCTCTCTTCAGTATGCTGACGATGTGGTCTTGTGTCAAGCCATCTCTGACTCTTCTGGTCTTTCAAAATTTTCTGACAACTTGGATAACGTCTAACGGTTTTCTGCCACATTGGGCCTATCTCTTAATCCCTCCAAATGTTTTGAGTGTCTGTTTACACTATCACACTCTTCTCTCCCATCTGAGCCGGTATCGATTGGTTCCAAACCAGTATCCCGGGTAAAAGGTATTAAATACCTGATCGTTTTTATGGATACTAATCTTCACTGGACCTCTCACATTCAAAAAATCGTCAGTAAGCTTCGACGACTTTCTTTTCATATCCGTAAACTTCGTCAGTTTCATCTTCCACAATCAATTATTTCCAACTTTGTGTATCAGTGTTTTCCCTATTTTACTTTATTGTTCACCTGTTATTTTTGCCAACCTCCTTAAGAAAGATTCCAATTTGCTTCGACGTGGATTGACCATCAATAGCCGTGTCTCTCCAGTCGCACTAAAGGAGTTGATAACTAACCTATGCGAACGTCATTTGAATGCATGTGAAAAGTTTGCGCATAAGATTCTCATTGACTCCACACATCCGCTATACGCTGATCTAACTTCCTGTTGTTCCCATCCCTCAACTAGATCACAATATCGTTCCATCTAGAATAAAGCTGGTGTTGGCATGTATTCGTGTGGAGTGAGTTCCAGGAAACTCTGTTAATTCTACTGTTAATTCTACACGTCACGTAGACCCAAGTATCTGTGACTGTGTATGTAGCGAGTCGGAATGAATGAAACTGACAATCGGTATAGAAGAAAGATCACACTTTTTCTCCGTGTTGGCTGTGAATTCGAAGGAAGCAAAAGTTGTGGCCAAATGCCCCATGGGATCATCATGAGAAGGCACAAAATTGTGATCAGCACAGCTAGGCTGTTTTATCTATTTCCCACCGAAACCCGTTGCTACTGCATGATTTGTTTAATTTTTATCTATCAAAAAATTCCCGACTTTACCGTTTCTAACTGTATTGTGTAGGCAAGCGAACCGTTTCACATTGCATGAGTTACCATTCTTGATTGGTGTAACTATTCTCTCCAGTCACAAAACACGGCTCATGGAAACCATTCAGCAGTCACTCGGAACACGAAGCGATGCTGTAACAATCAATACCCGAATTAGTTCTGATATTGCATGTAAAACGTGTCCGCACAGGCTTTCCGAGCACCTTCGGTAGCGTTCACTAAAGACCTTGTTAATCTCGTGTGTCAATATGCACAACTATCTAACATCCCACGACCGAAATTCATTCAAGTAAAAAGCTGATCAGGAGCGTTCTGCAAACAGGGTTCTGTGCCACACCATCCGGAGTAATTAGAGTGGGTTACGGTTACATCACAGTTAAGCACCGTCACAAGGTATACTACTACCCCTTTCCAGTCGTGATGTATGCAATCGGCTAGATTGACCACCATACTTATTAGCGTAGGACCTCTCGTTGTTGAGCGTATGTTGCGGACAATGTGTGATAGTGGTCGTCTTACTCTCTACGGTGGTGACAAGCGAGCGCGGTTGAAACGCGTCAGGAAAACTTGGCATTGAAACCACACGACCCATTGAAATTCAGTTCCATAACGCTGATCTGACGTACGAGATCAATGGAAGACAGTGCGTTAGCCACAAACACTCCGCGAAAAAATCGATTTTGTTTGGTTAGCTAAGCGACACAAGCGGAGGATCACGACACTTTTTGCGTGATTGGTTACAATAAAGTGCGTAAGAATGGAAACTGAAAAGCATTTAACTTCACAGCCGCCCAACCATACCGCATTATGTTCTCAAAATTTTACATTTAGAACAATGTATCAGAAGCAAAGACAAAATATTTGAACTGGAATCATGCGAAAAATCTGCGAGAGTAATTCAAGCAAAGAAAATTTATTCACCAAGATGGTTCTCAGTTTTTAGGTATAAAACTGAGGTGATCCACACACACGTGACCGCATTCCAAGTACGACCAATACAGCTTCATGTCATCCAATCAAAGTTCAGGAAGCTGGACCAATGGTACACCGGGCGAACATTAAATCAGAGTTAGTACATGTGATGCGTCTGCAAAAACGGTTACGTGATTGAACGTTAGTCCTTCAACCAACGAGATGACCTATTACTGTCTATAAAACATGCTCTATTTCTATCAGTAAACATTGACAGTTGCTGCTACCCATTCTCCGTGTACTTCATTGGTGTTCGTAGTTCGGGTTGGAGTCAATCCAGTTCTGAGTAGTACAGGTTCTCGTATTTCTACACTCAATACTATTCGGATTATCACAAAAACTCTGTCATTGTTGCTCGTTGAACTAAACAGAGAGATGTTTATCGATTTTTTCCAAATTGCTATATCCTTCCTGATCGACCTCTCTCACAAAACGTTCGACATAAATGGTTTGTAGAAAAATATTACGAAAAACAAAGATATTATCGCTGACAAGATATTGAAAAGCGATTTTCATAGCTTGGATGAACTGAATTCCATTTCTCCTGTTCGCCCGAGCTTGGAAATTTGTTTGCAAACGTTTCATCACCACGTGAGATGACATCATCAGTCCTTTGGAAGTGGAAGTGTTCTGTTTGTACCCTAGACTGGTGTTGAAACGTTTGCAAACAAATTTCCAAACTGGTGGCAAACAGGTGAAATGGAAAGATATTTCCGTGTCATCAACCACACAGACTACTCATCCAATAGGCAAAACCCAGAATCACAAATTTCTTTTCTTCCTCTGAATTGAAGGCACAGATCGCTTCCAGTCTGTTTTCTGCGGGATAGATGTATTCAATGCAATCGTTCTTGCGGTGCGTACCGAAGAAACAGTTGAGCAATTTATGTTCCTGGTGAAACAGTTGGAGAACAAAAAGAAACAACACAACAGGATTTTTCATTTAGTTTTATGGAGGAAGAAGAAGAAATGAATATTTGAACCAATCATGATGCTCTTTCAGGCTATAGATGCGATGCTATATATGTCAAATCTGTTCTCGATCTTCGATTCACAGTCTTAATTGTCAAACACAAATCCATAGTAAACTGCGTATGTTTTCATTTGTTTATAAATATCATTTATTCGTTGTTCGAGAGCTTTACGCACAGTGACAAAGAAGGACTAAATAGTTCACTGAAGTAAACACCGCAGAGGATGAAAATGCAGTCTGATTCGAAACAATAAGCACTGCCTCATTTACTTCTGCAGAGCGATTTCTTTGCGTGCACCACCAAAGAGATTACAGTTAGGCATTATAATTCCAAAATCGATTCCCCCCGAATGGCTTTATTACTTGACCGTTAGTTTAGTTGTTAATTTCTTGATATGATTTATCACAGCCTACTGATATCCTCGCATTTTCCCACCTGTATGGTACGGATCGAGAGCTTTTCTTCGTTTCAGCATCAGTCGGACTCTAAACTGTTTGGGAAATTCTTTGCAGGGACTCATGACGCGGTTTAGTTTTGCTAGTTAGGAATTCCGTATAAACGGGAATGCTACTAAGCTCAGAGAAATCAAGATTATGAACTCGACAGGATCAAAGCATGCATAACACAAAATGGTCAGCTCAAGGTGTTTAGGAGGTCGGCTCATCGGATTATCAATCACTCGTGTACGGGTTGGAACCCAAGTAAACTCAATCCACTACTAATGAATTCTAATCAAGAAGAAACAGTATTTGTACAACACTTTCGGTACATCTAAATCGGGAGTGCCACATCTATTCTGGATGAGGATTCTGTAGTTCATAAATATGAATCCTGAGGGCTGTCAGTGCGATGATGACATAATGAAGCTCACAGAGCTCAGTCGATTGTTCTGTCCGGATAAACATCAGTCACCCTGGTAATCCGTGATCAGTTTCCAAGCCTCGAACACACTTCCTCAGATGACTGAGAATTGGAGTCGAGACAAAAATGGCCAGATTTGATGAATCCCGTAAAATTACTGCTGCATTAGAAAACAGTGTGATGGAAATGCCAGTCATCAAATGACTCATTTGGATCTCCGGAAGTGTGCAGCTAGCATTTGCACACGAGCACATAGACTGTCTGTGAGCAGGACCACCACACCTGTCCAATCAGGGCCTTGTGGGTGCCTGTGTGTTTCGCCATTCTGGTCACGTGTAAGACCGAATTGTCCGGGTTCGTATGTCACACAGATGTTTTTCTTGTGATGCCGTAGTTTATCATTCATCACGTCTCAACCTGTTATAAAAATAGGAAAACTGGGA